ATATCGTCTTGTCTCCTTTTTTGTGCACGGGACACAGGATGCTCAGGTTCCAATCATTGGGCATGCATTCTTCTAGCCAAATTGTACTAATCAGCTGGTGCATGCTCCTTAGCAGTATATGACCACAAGTCTTGAATAGTTCGGCTTGTAACCCATTGGCACCTGCTGCTTTATTATTCTTCAGCCGATTGATTGCTATTCTGACCTCATATTGGCTATACCGTCATCAATTATTGGTTCTGGGGTATCCTATTCATCGCTACTATTTGATACCAGAAGTTTTTCAAAATGCTCCTTCCAGATCCTCAGCACGCAGTAGGGATCTGTCACCAGGTTTCCTTTTCTCTCTCTCATTTTCTCCCGATAGTTCTGCATCGTATTACGTGTTGCTACTGTCCGCTGCGTTTTTCATATCAGTAGCATTACGACACTCCTGATCGTACCACGGATTTCTTGATGATGATTTCTTGTGCTTCTTATTATCGGGACATGGGGTGCTTTCGTCAAGCAGTTGGGTAAGTTGAGCGGAGTAGGCTTCTGCTATCTATTGTGTTTGCAGCTTTTCGATGTCGAGTTTCCGTGTTACATTAGATCGGTGCGTACCATGGCTGCCACAAGGTAATGGTTCGCTCCCTGGATCGATCGGACGTCTAAAACACTGGATGAATTGCTTCCGTCTATCACAACATGATCGATTTGATATCTTGTTGTTCGATCGGGAGAAATCCAAGTGGCCTTGTGTATATCGAGATGCTTGAATCTGGTGCTGCTAACAACCATGTTTTTTGCTGCCGCGAAGTCAATCAACCGCATGCCGTTATCTAATGTTTCTTCATGGGGGCTGAATTTTCCGACGGTGGGGCCAAAGATATTTTCCCTTCCGATTTTTGCATTAAAATCTCCTAGTGCAATTAAATAAACTATACAAATAAGTTATTTTTTCTTTGAACATTGTTACAAAACTCATGACAAATATATTCCCACATCCTACCGCCACTCCCAGCTTGGCTCTCTAGGGATATCAAAAATGTAGAGTTGATGGCGAACTCGGCCTTTGTGTGTCATTGGCTTTTGAACTTCAAATGGGGAATTATTTATTTACATTACATCGTGCTTTCTATTGTTGTTGTTGCTTCCTTTGATTTCATATTTTCTTCGCGCTGTTTTTTTTTCTTTTTCTATGGAAAAATATATTTATTTTCCCTTCACAACAATTGAAAAGCCCAACACAAAAAGTAATATTGATTGAAAATCTGTTATTCCCCTATGCGATGTTTACAGTTAAGGCTTTTTGTTTTTTTGTCGCTTGGTTGGAATAAAAAGCACGAAATCATAAATATTCCCCTCATTTCGAAGCGGAATATTTTTGTCAATTACATTTATTGAAATACGGATTCAATATGGAAAATTAATATATGTATATTTTTTTCGATTTGATTCAATGAATTCTATTGTTGTTTAAGCCGATAATTTGGTTTTATTTTGATTGGAAAAAATTTGTAATGGAAAAAATAATCAAAAATTACAAATCACCCTCTGATAATTTTCAAATTAATTGAAATGTAAATTTACTGGGTACTATTTATAACGATGTCCTTCAATAGAAAAGTCCACATGAAAATCGATGGGGAAATAAAATTATTAATAACGAAATATCAAAGGGAAATACATGTAGTATTGAATCGCCTGGAGAAATGTACAAAAAATTTACTAAATGTGGCAACCTTTGTATTAGGCCTACACAAGGCGTGGATTTATTAAAGAATATTTTTTCAAGGCCTACATAAGCCGTGGATTTATTAAAGAATATTAAGTGTATGAAAAATATTAAATGGTACTAAATTTGATACATTTGCATTTTGTTGAGCGTAGAGATATGGGATCCTGAAAATAGGAATTGTAAAGATTTTTCGAATATTATAATGATTTTTTCGTACCTATGTATACGAAAAGTACTAAATTTGTTACAAATTGGATTAAGGTGAACAGATATAGTTGGAGTCTTGAAATTGGTAATTAAAATGACTGTTGGAGTGTAGGATTGAGGTAGTTTGTGGACATATGTACTTATGGGTACGAAAAATACTAAATGGTACTAAAGTTAGTACAATTTGAATTTTGAGTGAACGATAGAGTTGAAAATCTGAAATTTGGAATTAAAATTACTGTTAATGATTGAGCTATAGATACAGTTTTACAAATTCGTATTTATATGTACGAAAAGTACCAGATATTGTACCAATTTAGCTCAGAGTACTGAATTAGGTCCACTTGTCTTGTGCCAATTTTCGAGAAAATCGGGTCAGATTTTTATATAGCTCCCATATATAATTTCGTCCGATTGTCAATATTTTTCCGATTTAGACAAAATTTTGCATAGCTTATTAAAATTACTGCAGGTTGACATACGTGAAGTTTTGTAGAAATCGGTTCCGATTTTATGTAAATGGCGCATCGAGGAGTCTATGTATGTTCTATTTTCACGAAATTTAACAGCGAGTCTAGAATGCTTGTTGTTAAGTTTAAAATAACTCACATATACATATACTTTAGTCCCATTTTATGTAAATGGTGCAGCATAGATCCTGTTCTAGTTGCACCATATTTTGTTGTATATACTTTTGTCCGATTATATGCAAATGGAGGAATCTTCGTATATTCACTTTACATGAAATATTACATAGCGCATTGGATTGAAGTAGTTTAAGGTTTTAATATAGCTTCCATATATATTTTCATCCCATTTCAACTGTATGGTGTACCAAATAACTATCGTTTGTCCGCTTCGGACGAATTAGTGCACAACCTACCAAATGGAATCTTGAATAACGTGTATTGAATTTTGTGTCAAAATCAATTTTGAACAGTGGACTGTGCTGCAGCATACCAAATGGTGGAGGCTACGGTTGTTCAAATACGTCCATTTGAGGTTGGGGAAAAAGAAATCCATTAGGCTGGTCGTCGAAAATGTCGATAAAATCAGAGAAATGATCGAAGTTGACCAGCATGTTAGTAGTCGTAACATCGCCCAGGAGCTAAAAATCTGCCATAAAACTGTTTTAAACCATTTACACAAAGCTGGATTCAAAAAGAAGCTCGATATTTGGGTGTCGTACCAATTGACGGAAAAAATGTGATGGATTCCATCTGCGAAGCCTTGGCTAAACAGAATGAGGTAGACCCATTTCTTAAACGGATGGTGACTGGAGATGACAAATGGATCATATACGATAACCCTCTGCGAAAACGATAGTGGTCAAAGTGCGATGAAGCACCTTAAACGGTGACCAAACCTGGTCTAACGGAAGGTTCTGCTACGCATTTGGTGGGACTGGAAGGGATTTTTTTTTATTATGAGTTGATTCCATATAGCCAAACGCTAAATTCTGATCTCTACTGTCAACAACTGGACCGTTTGAAGATAGAAATTGACCAGGAACGGCCAAAATTACCACCAGGACAACGCCTAGCGTTGTCCTGGTGGTAATTTTGGCACACACACAATCGGGAGCTTGGTTTGGATTTTTAAATGCATCCGCCATACACTCCAGACTTGTCACCAAGCGATTATCATATTTTTCTTGCATTGCAAAATTCCTAAATGATAAAAATTAGTATCTAGGGAGGATTGTGAAAATCGACTACTAGAGTTTTTTGCAAATAAAAAGCAAGACTTCCGTGAGAGGGGCATTATGAAGTTGCCTTTAAAATGGCAACAAATCATACAACAAAACGATGCATATTTGGCCCACATCGGACATTCCAAAGCATGTTAAATAAAGTCCTATAGTTCATAATGGATTTCTCTTTCCCCCCAACCTATTATATTCTTCTTTATATTTTAGTCCTTGGACAAATATTCTTCAAAAAATGCAAGCCTTAGATAGTCCTTGATTTTTTTTTTAAATCTACGCCTCTTATGGTCTATAAAAAATATGTTTTTCAAAAATCCACGATTAACACCTCCCACTGCGTGGTTGCCAATAAAAAAAGCCCTATACTATCACAGCGACATCTAAAAAGAGCTTTATTCAACGTAAAAATATGTATTTATTTTGTTAATAGTGCCGTTGGAGCTTTGAAATGTCTGCAGAGCTTTTATTCTACACTACATACGAACCAAAAGCTTTTATGGCATACATCAACTAAGCAGCGTATGTATGTTGTATCCCATATGGTCTAGTGGCTAGGATATCTGGCTTTCACCCAGAAGGCCCGGGTTCGATTCCCGGTATGGGAAGTTGTTTTTACATGATTTTTATTCATTTTTTATATTCGACAAAAAATTGAACAAAATTTTAATTAATCAGAAAGGAGAAAAGGATACATGTCATAAAATACATCGGGAATGTTTTCTGACCTTAGCAAACGTCTCAATATTCTACTTTAGAGGGGTATTCTGGACACATAACACCTATTGAAGAGTTCTAGCCATATAAGACCTTAAAAAAGTACCTGAGAGGTATTACTGGCCTTCGGCTTCAAAAAATATATTTTTCCTATTCAATTCAAATTGAAATAAAACTAAAACATCTAGAAATAAAAAATGTTTTAAAATACAAATAAAAATATTTATTTTTTTATTATTTTTACATTTCACATAAATCGCATAAAAAAAAATTATGACAATTAACAACATAATATGAAGTGAAATATTTTTGAGCTTTTCAAATTACATATGAAACATTTAAAAAAACGTACTTGAAAAAAATAAATTCTAAAAATTATACCAAAAATATCAAATGTTTATACACAATTATTTTAAATTACAAATAAACATAGTAATAAACTATAGAGCTGTTTTTTTTTATATTCTCACATTTCAAATTACATATTCAAAATTAAAACAAAAACAATAAAAAAATAACCAAAATTTAATTATAAAACTAAAAAATGAAATAAATAAAAATTAAATTATAAAATTACATATAAAAAAGAATACAATTATATATAAATAAAAATCGAAAATCAAAATAAGTTTTAAAAAATTATATATTCTACTAATAATATTTCGGACTTGATTTGACTTGAACTTGAAAGTATTTATGACACCACTCCAAAGCGTATTCATAACCGACAAATGTGGCTGCGTTAAAGGGTATCGCCCTGACGACCAACATCCAGCTGCCACGGAACAAGCTGCGCCAACCATAGTGCTATAAAAAATAATAAAATTAAATTATTATTTATTTTTTTACTTTTCAAATTAATTTTTAATTTTTTTTTTTATAAAAATGTCATCAAACTTCCCCCTTACCTTAAAATTCTTATTCAAACAATGCCATATTGAACGATACTGGCGATTCTCTTCGGCCTGCATTATGGTTTTCACTACATCGAAGGGTATAACACACACCCAGGACAGAATCCCCGCCCATGCCCCCGCCATTGTCGTTACAACAAAATCCACCTGGGTATCATCTTCAGAACGTAGCCTTCGTCGCGCCTGTACAAATTCCGTTTGATCTAAATAGGTGGTGGTATATCGATAGGCCAACATATAGATGCCATAGGGGAAAACGTCTCTGAAGAAACAGATAATTTATGTTTTTAGTTTAAAGTTTTATCTCATGACTTACCGACACATCATGGGTACCAGTCCTCGGAATAGCCCCGAAAATCCATCATTCTTAACGATTCTCTTAAACATCCAGAATGGTGTCATCCTATGTCCATAAATATATTTGTTGTAATCTGGAAGGGAAATTTCAATTAGACCTTTTGTAATCAAAGAATACTTCGAGAAATATTATGAACTTTAAAAAAAACAAAAATCTGGTCACCAATGTACATTGGGAGGTATGGCTCTGTGAAGAGCATTCTGACCTAACAGGCCTTCTGATGACAGATCACAACAAATATCGAAAAGGTACATTGGGAGGTAACAAAAGGCCTCTGGAATGCCTTATGGCCAAAAAAGACATATGAAAATCCTTCTCTGCTTATAAAATCTCCGAAAGGTCGACTGATGAAACAGTTCATAAAATTTCTCCGCATAATAGACCTCTGACAATTCCATAGAACTCCTCCACCTCCTTAAAAAACGTCTGAGAGGCCAGTGGACATAAATGCCATAGACGGCCTCAGAAATATATCTTCTGGTCATAAAAAGCTCCAAACCCCTCTTTATTAGGACTTCATACATAGAAGACCTTGGAGAAGAATAGGGCTAGAAGGTATTGTGGATGTAGAAAAATACCCAAGAAAAAAATGCAAAAAAAGACCAGGTCCTCTGACCTTTGAGAGGTTTTGAAACATCTTTTTAAAATCCTTCTGGTCATAGAGGACGTCCGAAAGCTATTCTCCTCATATAAGATTTCTGACAAGTCTTCAGACTTTTGAAAGGACAATAAACCATAGAAGACCTCTGAGAACCTTGTGGTCATAGCGGACGATCGAAAGGTATTTTACTCATAGAAGATCTCCGACAAGCCTTTCGACTCTAGAAGAGGACCATAGACGACCTTTGAAAAGCCATCTAGCCTTCCAAGATTCCAGAGAGGTATTGTAGGTATAAAAGAATTCTGAGATATCATAGTAGATCTCTTGGAGGTCTTCCAGATATAGAACACCGGTAAAAAATGTGAAGAAGAACATAACTTAATAGCCTTCATTTTATAGAAGACGCCAGAAAGGTAATTTCCTCATAGAAGACTTCTAACAAAACTTTAGACTTCAGAAAAGGGCCATAGACCTTTGAAAGCCTTTCGCGATTCTAGAGAGGCATATAAGAACTCCGGGACATCAGTAGATCTCTTGGAGGTGTAGCTTAAACGACCTTTGAAAGCCTTAGAAAACTTTAGAAAGGTCTTCTATAAAATATTGGACCAAAGAAAGATTTTTTTTTGACATAAAGAACCTCTGAGAGATTTTCGAAATCTAAAAGTCCTTTGAGAAGTATTATTTCCATAAGAGATCACTGAAACGTATTCTACCTTTAGAAGGAGCTTTAGAACCGCAAAGGACGTTCGAAACATAAAAACCCCTCTGAGAGGTTTCCACGTCATAGAAAATGTTTTCGAAGCCCTCTCAGAGATCTCCTCGCCATTGAAGATCTTCTGGCTTTAGAAGACCTTTGAAAGGTCTTCTGGTTTAAAATATATATCTGAAATGTCTTTTGGTCCTAGAAGTTCGCTGAAAGCTTTTCTAACCTCAGAAATACTTCAAGACGTCGTGTAGCGATGGACGATTTTAAATGGTCATAGAAATGTTTTGGAAAGTTACAGAAAATCTCCGAAAGGCCTCGTGAAGTGTTCTTGACATAGACTACTTCTAAGGAGTTCTTTAGCCGTAGAAGTCCTCTTTCAGGTCTTGGGACATAAAAGACCTCTGAATGGTTTTCTGACCTGCCTGTAAACAGTTTTCTGCGCAAAGAAGATCTCTGAAATACATTGTGGCCTTAGAATACATTTCGAAAGTTCTCAGGGACATAAAATGCGTCACTGAAAGCCATTGAAAATCTCTGAATAGTTTATTGACCTTAGAAGTCCTCTGAAAGATTTTCTGTCCTAAGAAAACGTCTGAAAGATTATCATGCTGTAGACGTATTCACTCTAAAGAAGATATTAATTTAGGTTTTAATAGACCTCTAAAAGACATTCTAGCCTTACAATACCTCCGATTGGTCTTTTGGCCTTAGAAGAGCCTGTCTGACCAAGGAAGAGTTCTTTAGAAAGGCTTATATGTCTTAAGGTATTCTGGTCTTAGAAGAGCTCTGAACGTCCTAGAAGACATGCAAAAGGCCTTCAAACCAATAAAGACCGAAAGGCCTTCTGATCTTTCAAGAAGTATTCCAGTTTTTAAATATTCAGACCTTAGAAGAGCTCTGAACGTCATAAAAGAATTCCAAAAGGTCTTCTGATCTTAAATTTTTTGAAAGGTTTTGATGCACTATAACCTCCCCAAAAAACCTTCTTGGCTCAGAAAATATCTGAACTGGTGTAGCCATGAAAGATATCTAAAATGCCGTCTGGCCTTCTTTAAAGGCATTTAATAAGCCTTCTTCCTTATGTTGAACTTAGAAAGGTTTCTATGCCTCAATAAAAAGTGTCCTTAGAAGAGCTCTTCTAATGCCCTAGAAGACATCTGAAAGGCCTTCTGGTCAATGAAGACTTCTTAAAGGCCTCTGATTGATCTTCTGGCTTTATAGGAGCTAAAAAATGCCTCTATGCCTTAAATAGGCCTCTAATAAAGCCTCAGACCTTAGAAGAGCACTGAAATTCCTTAGGAGATTAAAAGATATCTGAAAGATTTTGTAGCCTTATAAGTACTCCGAAAAGCCTTCCTTCATATGAAGATATCTATCAGGTTATAAGATTTGGAAGATTTCTCTGAGAAGCCTTCTGACTAAAAAAGATTCAGGTCTTTTAAAAACCTCCGAAAAACCTTCAGGATCTAAAAAACAATTGAAAGATATTGTAACCATAGAAGATCTCTAAATTGCCTTGTGGCCATTTGAAAGGACTCCTTAGCTCAAAATGCCTCCATTTTCATTTTTTCTCCTTCACGACCTTTACTTCACTTCCCTCTCTCCCCCATTCCCTCCATACTTACAATGATGTGTTTGCAGGCGAATTTTGATCAACTCTATGGGGCACGCTACAAATGACTGCACAAATCCCGCTATTGATCCTGCGATAAACATATTTTTATATTCCAGCTGTTCACGTTGATAGTCACTGTGACACACCCGCCTCAGCTGCCTCAAATGATTGCCATAGACCCCAAACAAAATTGAATTTATTGCGCCCGTTGTGACAAAGGGGAAAAACATGCCACGATAAAAGCCATTGATCTGCAAAGGATAAAGTAAAAGATATTAGATAATGTGGGAGTAAAGGATGTGTGTGTGTCCTACCCCATTGTTACGTTTGTAGATTTGTTGTACGGCTGTCGGTACCGATGTGTTGGAGGCCTGCTGCCATGTCTTTATTGTATCCAACGGATGGGCGACAAATACACCTAGGGCACCTGTTAATTAAAAAAGAGAGGTAGGATATTTTTTAATTAGAAATGATAACAAATGAAACTAATTTCTTCAGAAAAATTTAAAAACATTTATTCAAAGTCGGAAAATATAAAAAATCGAATAATTGCTACATAGGAAATCTTTAGGATTAAATTAAAAAGAATTTTAGGGGGGTAATTGGATGGGAAAATTTTGTAAATATGATCGATGGCTCTATGAGAGATTATTCCGAATTCATTTTCCCTATTTATTAATTTTCAATATCAAAAATCCAAATATCTCAATTCTTTTATTATGCTCATCACAATGTAATTTTTTTATTTATTTTTCGCCTAATTAGGTGCTTAAAAATTCATGTCGAACATGTGACAATTATTATTATTTCAAAATATTTGAAATAGTTTATTTATATTGGGTTGCGACCAACAAGTCATATTAATTTCATTCATAAATATTTCTTAAATAAATAATTTGTTGAAAAATCTAGAAAAAATGCCTCTCAACCTTATGTGGTTTAGGCAACAAAACCCGCTGCCAAATTTAAATGAAATTTTCTCGTTAATTTATATATACGACCATGTGAGTGAGCACAATATTTAAGTGGCCACATTACCTACCATTAACGTTCATCCATACGTAATTGTTCACATTACAATGCGACGAACATATCTTTTTATCTGCCAATTGTTCAAGAAACATCTGATTACACAGTTTCCATATTTTCTTTCGAAAGTCAAACAGAAATTATTAAGTAGGTGGGGTTAATTGGCTTAAGAGGGGGGAAAGCATGAATAAATTTCGCCATTATTTTTCCGTTGATTTAAGCAATTAAAAGTTTCTTCTATAAAATTAGGAGAAGCTGCTCGAAATGGTTTAAATTTTCTTGTAATTACAAGGAAATTAATGTAGTACATACACTTTATGGGTCATTCCATATAGTTGCAACTGAAGTCAGCAACAAAAAGTTGTTGTTGATAATTTTATACTGTTAATTTCGTATTCAAAATGTATGACTATATATTCGGTATATACATTATATATACATATTTCTCTTGTTCAATGACTTATGCTAAAAATTGATGGAGAATATTTTTGTTCCTTATACCATTCTTCTAAAACGACATCTTGTGGGAAAAATTGGTAAAAACTAGTAATAAGTGCGATTTTTACCCTAAAATGAAAACACTGCCACCTGACACTTCTTTACAGGTCTTATTATTTCACTGTCACTGGAATCGTCCTCGCAATATTCAAAAGAGTCATCGGCATCTTCGTTCTCACTAGAAACGTCTGGCAAATTATCGTCAAAAACTTCCGAAAGTATTTCAGGTTCGTTCGTTTCCATCTCTTTTCGAAAGGAGGCCATTTCAAAAAGGGCGAGGAACTTGAAGACGAAGGCTATTCGAATCACCAAAATGCAATGCAAAGTGTCGAATTCTCTTTGAGACTAAGCCGTTTTGATTTTGCGTTTGTGCATTTATACAGTTTTTCGTAGCACGTAATACGAGAAAACTCGTGATGGGTCCTTAATGTGTTAAGATTTTTAACGTTTAGGCGGATTTTTCAGTTTTAGTCTATTCTGAGACATATAATAAAATATTATGGCGAACATTTCTGTAGAATATTCTGAGCATCTTTAATCCCGTTTTAAATGAGTTTTCAATCACTCCTTGGAAGAGGGGACTGAAAAGACCCCTTCAATGAGTCAGTTGAGAGTTAAAGTTGTATACCAAAATATTCCTCGATATTTTATCTGTAATATTGCCGAATACACTATATACCTAAAATACGCCGATACACATGTCTTTATTTTTTAGCCCCTCTTTCATAATCTGTTGGAATATCCCGGTAATTATTTTTTATGTTGCACAGTGTAATTTTTAGTTGTGAGATTTGGCATCCAATAAGAATCCAAAATACCGAATATTGGGTATACCGTTATATGAGGGCTATACCATTAGCAATACAAAAACTCCAGAAGTACTAGCAACGTATGAGCTCCATCTATCGTGATTTCAAAAGACGGCCACGGCCAAATCGACATATAATATTATTCTGATCAAGAATATACAGTGAAGTACGGTTATAACGAACTACAAGGGACCAAGCCAATCACTTCATTATAGAAGAAGGCAAAAACTAGAATTAAGCGAAAAAATATATATTCAGTTCCATAATTGGTAGTTTTTGTTAAATTTTTGACCACACCCTGCTTCTTTTTTTCTTTGACGAACCTGATTTTTTTTTGTAAAGATAAACTTTTGTGCGGATTATCATCATTAAAAAATATATATACTTGTGGTGAATTAAAATAAAACTGAAAGCTGGGACCAAATAAATATTTTGTTATAAAAAAAGTTCGCTATATCCGCAATGCACTATAAAAATAACGATTTGTATGAAAACTTCGGGAACAGGAAATAATTCGGTATATAGATGTGTTCTTTATGGGCGTACTCGACTGCTTATACTTTATGGGTTATTTCGAGGTGTTGCAAACGGAGTGACAACTTTAATATATGTATGGAGGGTATAAAAACGTAATATTTTAAAACGCAAATATTACAGATGATTTTTATTTTTTTCCGATATATACTAATACCATTTCAGCAATCTGATTAGCACAGTGCCAAAATTGTAGTGACTAATACCAATTTAACACAATTTTCCAAAACATTTACATTCAACAATCCTATATTAATAAACCAGTGAGCGGAGCAGTATAGTCGGACTGGACCGACCATATCTTTTTGCGGTTCTAGGCCAACAGCTCCACTTTCTAATCCTGGTATATTTTCCAAATCCTGTTTTTTCCGAGGTGAATATTTACGCTATTAAATACAAAGTTGTCCACTTTAGGCTTCGGTCGATTTGACCCTCTGAGCCATTCTATGTATTTGGTCAGATGTCCTTCACCGTATAAAATATGCAACGTTCTGCAATAATGACCTCTAGATCGACTAGAAAATGAAGTTTTCGGTTCATTGCACTCCCTAAATATCATCTCAAAACCACCGAAAATTATAGGCGTCGTCCTTGACCTTGAACTATAAGACTTTATTTAACATGCTTTGGAATGTCCGATTTGGGCCAAACAAATGATCCACCGTTTTGTTGTTGTAGCAGTTTATATGAATTGCATGTTTTCTGTTATGTTTCCTCCAGTTCTGTCTCCAGATTTAGACATGCAGCTACCTCCACTGGCTGTAACCACAGATATTCCGGAGTGAGATGAGTAGGTTTGGCTGGGCAATTGAACAAGTGCAGTGTGGTATGAGGGCCTGTACCACATGCTGGGCAGACATCCTGCACCTGGTCATCAATCCGTGCCCAATACGAATTGAGCCGACTGCACCATCCAGAACGTAACCGAGCCAAAACTACTCTGGTTTGTCTGGGCAGCTGACGTTCTTCAACTGCTATGGGTGGGGGGTGAGCTCCGAGGACGGCATTCACTTTGTAACCGTTCAGCGCTGCTCGATAGGCCACTTGATCTAGAGGCTCCCTTTTGTATCGTTGAACCTCTCTAGATCATGCACATCCTTCCTGACACGCCTGGGTGGGGGAGTCCTATCCACCATATGATGGTTGGGATGATCGTCCCTGAAACACCCGAGCAGGTACTGCAACGAAAGCATATTGCTATGCTGACGTACGGAAATGATCTTCGTCTCCTCATGAAGATGGTCCACTGGTGTCATGAGGAGGCAGCCTGTCGCTGTCCTCAGGGCGGCATTCTGACAGGTCTGAATATTTCTCCATTGCGTATCACTGGAATTCGCAGACCACACTGGAACCGCATAGCTAGCCACAGACGACCTATCGCTTTGTAAGAGGTCAACAAGATTTCCTTATCTGCGCCCCAAGTGCTGCCGGCAAGCGACTTGAGGACCTTGTTCCTACTTTTTAGCTTATCGCAGATAGCTGTGGTTTGCGCGGACGATTTAAACATGCTGTCGAATGTGACCCCGAGTATTTTGGGGTAGTTGGTGGTCGGAATTGTGTGCCCCTCGACCTGCACATTCAACGGCGGCGGGTTCTACGATACCGGATTGACCCGATTTATTTCGGCCAGCGGCTGCCAACCCAGTTATATATCCACCGTTTTGTTGTATGATTTGTTGCAAATGTATCTTCAAAATGCCTCTCTCATAGAAGTTCTGATCTCTATTTGCAAAAAAACTCTAGTAGTCGATTTTCACAATCCTCCCAAGATACAAATTTTTTATCATTAAAGAAAATTTGTTTGATCGATACTTTACGAGAAACCTATCAATACAGCCATCTGCCGAATTTTTATTAATATAGATATACAAAAACAATGTCATGAATATGTTAGCGATGGTTTATTAATATAGATATACAAAAACAATGTCATGAATATGTTAGCGATGACGCCAGAGTACCATTCCTTTCGATCAATAAAATTCTGAGCAATCAATGGCGGGATAGCGGGACTAAAGAAAAACGTTCGCTACCATTATAATAGTGACTAACACAGTATCGATAACAACCACTGCGGAATAGCCCATATGTAAACATGCCAAAACGTGGACGCCAACAGAAAAAAACAAAAATTTGAATGAAAGAGATATGCCGACGAGAGCGTCATTTTAAAAATACCCCCTCAAAAAAACAAAAAGATCACGGTCGCCAAACATGAACTTGGCCAACTGTTGCAAATACGGATAAGGTTAACAACAGCTACAATAACAATTTCGAATTAGAAATTAGAAATTAGAAATATATTCGAAATGAGGTAGTCCCAAGAAACAAACAAATCAGAATCATATTAAAGAAATATAAAGATCGGAAAATCCTATAGGAGGCACAATTTGGAAGAGAATAAAAAACAACAAAACTATTTCAAATTTAGATAATAAAATTACATCATTAAAAAATAATCGGTGGCATTTTTTTCAATTTAAAAATAGTTTTTAAATACCTTACCTCCAAAACACCCCGCCACAAAATCACAGTAGGTTTCTTTCATTTTTGCATTTGGTTACTGGAAGGAAGTTTAGAATATTTGGGTTTCTTCACTGTTTGTAAAACTATATGGTATCCTATATAAGGCTCTCACACACACTCAACTACACTAAACCTACGTTCTTCTCCTTGTTGTTATTGGTTACAAAAAAAACTAATTAAAAATAATTTTCTAATTGAATTGAATTTGCTTCTTCTCTAGTGACGAAACTCGCGCGCACACCTTAGATATGTGTTAATTATTTTATTTTCTGTTGTTGTTATTATTATTATTATTTTGTTCGCACCACCACTTTAATTGCGAATTTCACCTTTCGGGTCCCGCAACACTCTTACCCACTCAAACGCACACCCGCACACCGAGAATGGGTAAAGCGTGCGAAAACCACCCGACCGAGTTAATCGTCACCGCCTGCACCGTATTTGCGATGCACCACAGACAATGGCTTTCTAACAACTGCATTGCATCGCTACGGGACCAAAACTATTCAGAACTGTTTGGTATTTAGAAATGCAATTTTTTAAATTCAACGCTCTTCTCTTACAGATGTTAAGGGAGAGAAAAAGCTTTTATGCGAAAGCTTATTTTCTGGGAAAGAGAAAAAATTTCGATTCTATTGTTACAAATTGAAGGGAATGGCAATTGGTTCGGACATCAAGTTCCTTAATTTTAATTAATTAACCGCATCTCCAGGCGTATACTTTATAGT